TAAAATATATACTAAAGTTAGGAGCATCCTAAGACTATCTTAATACACATATTTAAGTGTCCTAAAGTTAGAACGATTCCTACGACCTGTCCAAAGTTGCGACATGTTTGATAAACCAACTTAGGACTAAGATATGTCCTAAGATGATCTTTGGACATGTCCTACATGTAGTTCTAAGATTGTTTCGATAAACAGGCCCCAGTATTATAATTGCAATTCATCCAAAATAAAAAAAAAGGTGATACAAATATTTGCGTGCGTACAGAAAATGTATTATTATGCAATTTTCATTTGATGGTTTTGAATTGAAGTGACGAGAATGTTCTAATTTTTGTGGGACTATTAATCAAAAGAACCATGATGAGAACCAATAACAACAACATCTATCATGTTTATTAAGCACACTTTCTTTTAAAGCATCTTAAGAAAAGCATAATTTCTCGTCATTGTTCTGGGTTTATCAACTGTAACGGATTTGCAAAGGGAAGGTGTAAGTCATGATCAAGTAGATTCTTTAACCCAAATGCTCAATCTTACTTGAAATCGTTTATTATTGCAGATCGGAATATATATATTATCCTAATTCAGGTAAATTATAATTTGCACATATCAGGTGTGCATACTTAGATTACGAACATACAGAAGAAAAAACCTATGAATGTGTGTTATTTAATACCAGGAACATACGAATTTCTGTATAATATATTTTGTATATGTTTTATGTCCATTTAATATGGTTGTACTTTCCAAGTCAATAAATATCTTCGACAATTCAAAGTGGTAGAGGCTCATCTTTACCATTCAAGTAAAGATAATGCAGTTCACATGAGGTAGTGTAAAATTCAGAGGGAAATTGTTCTGAAAGTCTTGAAAAGAGGGTGGTAAAAATTGAAAATTTAGGATTTACGCATGACTACGACTTTAATTACTTCCATGCATTGGAAATTCAGTACAATGATCACCAAAAAAAAAACAAAATACATATAAACGAAAATGGAAACATTTGAGTACTCATGACCAATGTTGAACAATACCTTTAAAGTAAGAAACTGACTTTAGTTATACATTAAATTTGTTTTGTCAATTTCAAAATTGTAGAATAATCTTTGGAAGCGTGAGCGGATTTTTTTTTTCTAAACTCAAGGGGACTTTTAAAAATACCCAAAATCATTTATTTAATTTTATTGCAGGATTCCTTAGCTGCTATATACATAAATCGTGGGAGACGTCATTGCATTGGTAGCATTAAACTGGTTCACGTTTCTCGCTAGAATAGCCTACTGGGAGGGTAATAACAAATCATCCTGACACCCGTTATATTTCTAGTTCGAGGTTGCAGTCGGGAGAAACAATGGGAACTTTGAACTAACGGCTGTTAGTAACTGCGAGTACTCTCAGATCTGTACTTAGTGTTCTTTTTTGTTGGGCCGTACGTATACAAGTACTGGGCCAGGTCCACTCTATGTTTTTGTTAGATGTATTTCTATATGTATCCAACTCATGAGTTGAGCCTTTTTCAACTAGTTTTTATAGTTTGTTCTTATGGTGTAGTGTTACACCACTGTCCCATGTTAAGGGAAGGGTTCGGCTCCAATTAAAATGTTTAACCCCGCCACATTCTATATGTACCTGTCCCAAGTCAGGAGCTCGTAATTTAGTGGTTGTCGTTTGTTGTTGCGTTACTTATTTGTATTTAGTTCATATTTTGGTACATAAATTGGGCCGCTAGTTTTTTGGTTTCAATTGTTTTTTATATTTGTCATTTCGGGGCCTTTAATAGCTGACAGTGCGGTACGGGCTTTGCTCATTGGTGAAGACCGTACTGTGACCTATTGTTTTTAATTTCTGCGTCATGTGGTCTCTTGTAAAGAGTTGTCACATTGGCATTCATACCACATCTTCTTTTTTATATTGTATTGTTCCATTCGATTGCATTTCTTGGAAACTAGAGTCGTGTTTGTATATTTGTAAATGTTTTAATTTTCAACGACCTTCAACAAGTAAAGTGAACAAAATTTTAAAAGCATGGTTGTATAACGCACACTCTTAAAGTAGAACAACATAATTTCCCCTAAAATCTAAATATTTATTTAGCGTTTTTATATCAATCAATATCTAAAAATACCACATTTCCAATATTAAATCAACAAACCGATGCACAAATATTTACAGCGAAGCAGTCCACAGCTTTTTAAAAAGCTCAAACTAGTAATATTCTTAATTTTCAAAGTGTAAATCATTGATGCGTTTTGTTTTAATCTGTGTCAAAAAAGCGTTTACCAGAACGTAATAGGTGTTTGCACATAACGTAATAGGTGTTTGCACATAACATAATAGGTTTTTGCACATAACGTTATAGATGTTTGAACATAATGTAATAGGCATTTGCACATAACGTAATAGGTGTTTGCACATAATGAAATAGGTGTTGTACATAACGTAATAGGTGTTTGCACATAACGTTATAGTTGTTTGCACAACATATAATAGGCATTTGCACATAACGTAATAGGTGTTTGCACATAAAGTAAACGATGTTTGCACAAAACGTATAAGCTGTTTGCACATAAAGTAAACGATGTTTGCACAAAATGTATAAGCTGTTTGCACATAACGTAATAAGTGTTTCACATAATGTATTAGGTGTCTGAACATAATGTAAAAGGCATTGCACATAACGTAATGAATGCTTACAGAGAGTATCAATTGTTCGGCAAAACGCATATGAACTATACCATGATGTATTATGTTTTTCACTGGATATACATATGTAAAAACACCACATAAAGCCGTTAGACTATAATATCATGAGGTTTTCATAGAACAAAGATGTATCAAAACAAAACGTTTAGAACATTCAGCATGACAATCACATTTGAGACAGGACGCAATTATTAACTGACTTACGTAAAGGAAGAATAGACACAACAGAGAGAAAATATGAAAGAATGTATAGGTGGTTGATCATAAAGTTTGGAGGTATTCACAGAATATATAGAAGTTACAGCAAAATGAAATGCCTATTGCACACAACAAAGTTTAGCAATGACATATCATACAATTGTTTGACCAAACACATAATAAATTTGGCATAAAACAGAGATGCAGTGTCAGTAAATAAAGGCACCTGCACATAACATAAAGAAGAAATGACAGGACGTAAAGGCAAAGCGACAAAACACATTAAATATTTACACTATAAGACAGTTCCGGCGTTCCATAATCAAGATCCAGAAAAGGGCAGAGATCTTGTTAGTATTAGCTTTATTTAAAGTCAGATCGGCAGGATACATCTCTTCAGTAAACACACTGATTGAGAAAATAGCAAAAATAGAGTCCACAAAAAAAAACAATACGCGAGAATCAGCTGGAGTACAATAAATTCATTTACTTGTACATCCCGTGATTGTGTTATTGTGCTATGGTAAATTTCTGTCTTTTTGTTATATGATTATAACACAATGTTGACTGTTGTACATTTTTAATTATTATGTCTGTTTGTTTTGTTGTTGTCGTTGTCAACATTTTCAATTATTATGTCTGTTTGTTTTGTTGTTGTCGTTGTCAATATAATGTAAACTCTGCGACTGTCATACAAGTGAGAGGTTTAGCTAGCTATAAAACCAGGTTCAATCCACCGTTATCTACAAAACGAAATATCTGAACCAAGTCAGGAATATGACAATCCCCTTTCCTTTTCACGAATGTGACCTACCGAATAAGACTATTTTCCGGCTTTGTAATAAAATGAGCAACACGACGGGTGCCATATGTTAGCAGGATCTGCTTACCATTCCGGAGCACCTAAGATCTCCCCTAGATTTTGATGGGGTTCGTGTTGCTTTTTCTTTAGTTTTCTATGTTGCGTCTTGTGTAATATTATTTATCTGTTTGTTTTTTTCTTTTTTAGCCATGGCGTTGACAGTTTATTTTCGATCTGTGAGTGTGAGTTTGACTGTCCCTTTAGTATTTTTACCCCTCTTTTGTTATCCATTCATTTGCAGTGTTTGAGATTTTGATTTTGGCCTTTGATAAAGGACTTTCCATTTGGAATTTTCCTCGGAGTTAGGTATTTTTGTGATTTTATTTTTTTCATAACAACAAAGATACCATGATTTGTAATTGTAGCTAAAAATAATCTTAGGGCGAGTGAGATCAACACCAAAGGTCGGTTTTTATATCAGAAGACGGACGAGTATAAATCTTTTGCAAAATGAGATACCTAAAAGCAGCAACAAAAAAAAAAAAAAAACAATCTTACAACGAGCATCAGTCTAACTAAAATAAAGAACTCTTGATTTTGTTATACTCTTGAAGGAAATCAGAGTTCTATATTTTAATTAGAATGAACGATCATTATCAACCGAACTCATTAATTTGGAGATTATAGAGACAACCAAAAACATGACAAAAATAGCTGTGAAATATGTTTTGGCAGTGTTAAAATCAATTTGAATCTTTACCCAAGAAATGTTTTGATGAATCACAAAGTTAATATATTGGAGGATGACTTTAATAATATGTGTTTGTGTAATTGTCATTTGCTTCTGTCGTTGTATTTTTTATTTCATATGAAACAAAAAGGATTGTGCGAATTGAATGATTTTTTTCAGTTCTTGAACTATCTTGTAAAAGTCAACTATGCTACCTTCAGCTGTCCAACATTTGTAAGAAAGAGTAGGGTTACTTTTAGACAGTTAAAGCTAACATACTAGTGTCTTACAGGTAAATGATAGCCTATTAACTGAATTAAAAACGGGTGCAACAATAGAATGACGTGACACAAATGTTTTAGAGAAATTAGAACCACCATTTTGTTTACGAACAAATAACAAATACCAATGAAACAATTCATCACATGAATACGTTTTGAAAGAAGATATTTGATGACCTAGTATATAAAACCAAAATATATACAAAAAGCCGTCAATATGAAATTGATATTTTGTATAGGGTATTTAATAATCGATTTTCCGAATATTCAAATCAATTATGCGAAACGTTTTGAAATAACTTACAATATCCGTTCAAAAATATCGATATTGAATGTAAAATTATAATGAGCAGTTGTAAAAGGGAGTAGAAAGCATGAGTTGTGTAGTCGACGTTTCCGGAATGATGAAGTTAAGACCAACCGAAATATTCTTTTCACAGGATTCTATTGCAAACAATTGGGGTAAACACACAGCTTTCAATGCTAAATTTATAGGAGACACGTTAGATGAATTGTTGACTGAATCTATTTCACTGAAGGACATTCCAAATATTACCTCTGTACTAATAAATGGAAAGTTTTACACTGTTGACAATCGGAGACTGTGGGTTTTTCGAAAAGCAGAAGAATTGGGATTTTTAGATGACATTGAATTTGATCAAGTTACACAGCGACATGTCAATCTAACAAAATTTACAACGACTAATGGTGGAATTTCGATTAGGATTCGAGGATCTGGAGACCCCGGAGGGCAAATATGGAGAACGTGGAAACCAAACACATTTCGGAAAGTACATGAAAACACAGTGAGCAGTTCTGCCTATCGTTCCCGTAAGATTTATGCTATTGAAAATAGGACTAATGTAAATCAAGGTTTTTTCTGTACAAAAATAGTTTCCGAGTATCAAGATCCAAGTACATACAAATCATCACATTGTAAAAACTATTACTCCAGGCCTAGTTATCGGTCTGATGATTCTCATTCCAGCAACGTCGAATCTCCAGTAGCTGACAAAGAAATTCAGCTTTCCACCATAATAAGACCAAAAGCAGAAAAAGAAACAAGAAAATGCAGTCAATCGACTCTAGAATCAACCGTAGGGAACAATTTATTACATGTCCGAGGACCTCCCGTAAATCAAAGTAGGTCAAGTGTTAATCCAGATTCGTTCTCTAACAAATATGCAAGCGAGGCTAAACATCTAAGAACATTTAAATCATATAGTGATTACATTTCTGTAAAGCCTGATGTTCGGAGTTATAATGAGTTTTCGGGCAAGTGGGACTCTCCAGCATCGGACAACAAAATTCACAGTCCCATTATAAAACCATCACCGACTGAAGAAAAACAAACACGTAGTAAATCTTCTCTCGAGTCAATCTCAAGTGAAACTACGTTACGCGCCCAAGGCCATCAAAGTTGGACGAATGTTAATCTAGATTCATTCGGCAACAAAAAAGTTACTGAGGCTCAACATGCAAGTACATATAAATACTCGTATATTGATAAAATTTCTGCCAAGACTGATTGTCTTTATGATTATGATTTCTCAAGCAACAGCGAATCTAGAGTATCAACAAAAAAACCTTATCGTTCAAGTATACAAAAACCAACAGCTGAGGAAGAGCCTACACGAAGAACTAAATCTTTTTTCGAATTATCCGCAAGAAAATCTGCGTTAAGTGTCCACGGACCTCTTGTTAATCAAAGTAGGACGAATGTAAATCAAGATCCCCTCCGTTCCAAAACAGTTGCCGAGTCTCAACATCCAAGTACATACAAATCATCATACTGTTATAACTATTATTCCAGGCCTAGTTATCGGTCTAATGCTGCTCATTCAAGGAATCTTGAACCTCCAGTATTTGACAAAGAAATTCAGCTCTCAATTATAAAAAGATCACAAGCTGAAAAAGAAGCAACACAATGCAGTAAATCATATCTTGAGTCAAGCTTAAGGAAAACTTCTTTACATGTCCATGCACCTCATGAAAATCAAAGTAGGTCGAGTGATAATCAATGTTCCGTCTTTAAAAAACACGAGGTTCAACATCCAAGTACATTCCAATCATATAATGAATTAATTTTTGCAAAGCCTGATGTTAGGAGTTGTAAGGAGTTTTCGAGCAACTATGACTCTCCAGTATCAGACAAAGAAATTCACAGTTCGATTATAAAACCATCACCAGCTCTAGAAGAACCAACACGAAGAAGTAAATCTTCTCTCGATTCAATTTTGGACAAAACTTCGTTAAGTGTCGAAGGACATCCGAGTAGGACGAAAGTTGATCAACATTCCATCGGCAACAAAACAGTTACCGATGCTCAACATCCAAGTGCATACAAACCATCATATAATGATTACATTTCTGCAAAGCCTGATGTTCGATGGGATAATGATTTGGTACGCAACTGTGAATACCCAGAATCAGACAAAGTAATTTACCGTTCAAGTATAAAAAGATCAACAGCTGAAAAAGAGCCAACACTTAATAGTAAATCTTCTCTCGAGTCAACCATAAAAAAAACTTCGCCACCTGTACAAGAACCTCTGGTTAATCAAAGAAGAGCACCTATAAATCAAGAGTCCTTCGGCAACAACACAATTACCAAGTCTAAACATTCAAATACATATACATCATCATATAGTAAATACATTTCAGGAAAGCCTGATGTAAGTTCTGATAATGATTTTTTTGGCAACTGTGAATATCCAGTATCCGACAGAACATTTCATCTCTCGAGTATAAAAAAATCAACAGGTGAAAAAGAGCCAAAACGTAGTAAATCTCCTTTCACGTCAACCATTAGAACAACTTCTTTGCGTGTTCAAGGACCTATTGTTTATCAAACTAGCATGGATGAGAGTCAAGATTCCTTCTGTTACGAAACAATTACCGAGGCTCAACATCCAAGTACAAACAAATCATCATATACGGATAACATTACTGGAAAACCTCATGTTCGATATGCTAATGATTTTTTGGGTAACTGTAAATATCCATCATCCGACAACATAATTCAACGTGTAAGTATAAAAGGATCAACAGTTCAAAAAGATCCAAAACTTAAAAGTAAATCTTCTCTCAGGTCAACCGTAAGAAAAACTTCGCTACGAGTCAAAGAAACTGTTGTTAATCAAAGTAGCATGAATGTAAGTCAAGATTCCTTCTGTTACGAAACAGTTACCGGGGCTCAACATCCAAATACATACAAATCATCATATAAAGATAACATTACTGGAAAGCCTCATTTTTGGTGTGATAATGATGTTTTGGGTAACTGTAGATATTACGTATCCGACAAAAAAAATCATCGTTCAAATATGAAGAGATCAACAACTTAAAAGGAGTCAACACTTAATATTAAATCTTCTCTCAGGTCAACCGTAAGAAAAACTTCGTTACATGACCACAGACCTCATGCTTATCATAAAGTAGGACGGATGTTAGTCAAGACTCTTTCTGTAACGAAACAGTTACCGAAACTCAGAATTCAAGTACATATAATTTATCATATAGTTATTACCTTTCTAAAAAGTCTGCTGTTGGTTTGGATAATGTGTTTTGGCATTGTGAAACCTCAGTTTCCAAGGAAGAAATTCATCGTTTAAGTTAAAAATTTCAACAGCTGAAAAAAGAGCCAACACAAAGATTAAGATTTTTCTCTCGAGTCAATCTTAAGCAAAACATCGTTACCTGTCCAAGGACCTCTTGTTAATCAGAGTATTATGAATGTTAATCAGGATTCCTTTTGAACCACAAACAGTTATCGATGCTCACAATTGAAGTACATACCAATTATTACAGTTATTAATTATACAGTAATAAAAAAATAGAGTAGCAGAGAATGTCCAGCTGAAGTATTAGACAAAGAAATTCACTGTTCAAGTATAAAATGATCAACAGCTGATGAACAACCAACGCTATAGCTAGGATGTAAATCTTCTGTCGACTCCACAATAAGACACAACTACATAATTTGTCCATGGGAAAATGCTTTATTGAATACTTGTTAAAAAGATCCCGAAAATAAAAGTATAAAGATTCTCTTCAAAACAAAACAACCGTTTGTCTAATATGTAGAAATCATCATTTAAATATGACATTCGTCGCAGCCAAGTTTTTCGAACAATTCAAAATTCGCAATAGCCGGTAAAGAAATTCAGTTAAAAGTATGCTAATTTCAAAACGTGAGGAAGAATTAAAATATAAACCTGTTCATGCAGTTCTAGATATTTCAAGTAAAAAAGAAAAATTTAATGTTTGAGGTATACTTCCAAGTCACACTCATGGACCAAGCGGGAAACAATTCTGAAAAAGAATTTGAACAAATTGAACACGACAGAAAATAACAATAGACATAAGTTCTGTTAGGTGAGACAACAAACATCCTAATAAGATTGCTAGATATTTACAAGTACATGTATTGTGAATGATTGAAAAGTCGATGCGTAAGTCCAACATAAATTTGCCTAGACTTTTTTTAATTGATTGCTGCTTTACAAAAAAAAGAAAAAAACACTAAACACATCTGGAAATATTCCTTTCGATGAGAAAAAGCAAAGATCATACAGAAAGATCCAGAGGTATCCCATCGTTAATTTCTATCCCTTATCGAAATTTTGGATTTTATCTTCTACAGTGTTTTACATTACACGTGACATGATGTATAATCAACAGTGAAATGAAGTATACTCGATAGAAGATTTGGTGTGATTGCCAATGAGATACTAGTTACTCTTCACAAGTGCTCAAATGATACAGAAATTAACAATTATGGGTCACCGTACGGCCTTCAACAATGAATAAAACCCATACCGCATAGTCAGCTATAAAAGGCTCCAAAATCTCATATGTAAAAAATTATAACGAGTAAACTAAAGGTCTGATTTATGTGCTAAATGATAAACGCAAAACATAATGATATACAGCAACAAACCACAACTACTGAACTACAAGGTTTTGACTTTGGATAGGCACATATAGAATCTGGCGGGGTTAAACAAGTTTGAAAGCACAAACCATTCCCTAATATTGGACAGTGGTGTCACAGTCCAACATGAGAACCACTATACAATCAATGGTTTGATATATAATTGGGTGTTCAAACAATAGTGAGATAAAACATCGTGTTTGCTATATTAATTTGTAATTGCATAGTTCAAGTGGTTGCGACATCTAAATTACAAATTACTAATCTTCATAAATGAACAAAATGTGATGCAAGATAAACAAATGATTTGAATATTAAAGGTTTTGATTTGCCAATTTAAGTACTTACATTTGTAGATATCACTGATAATATACAAGACTTGACGAAATCGTAATTTTACTTTTCAATCAACCTTTGAACTTTGAAAGGCATATTTCTTAAAACGTATCTTTTGTAATGTTGTATACACTGTTTCAATATGTTATGATACCTGGCTTCCTGAAATTTTCTCTGGTACCTGTGGGTACTATAATCAATGCACTTTGGTGTTGAAACAAATTTATATCAAAAGTAAACAATGTCTTGTTCATGTACCTTGCCGTTCTAGTTGCAATATTGGTAATGGTCAGCTGTCTGTTCGTTTATTGTGTGTCAAAAACTCGTCGAACGTTGATATGTGATAGCTCTTACATTTAGTAAGATGTTTGGGTATGACATGCATAGTTAAATACTGTCTTTATCTGTGCTAAAATTTTAACTTACATGCATTTTCTCTCAAATTATTACCACTTATGGTTCTTGATTCTTTCAATACTTATAGATTGACTAAGCTTCTGAAATAAAAACATACTAAACCACTCATATTGTTAGGTACATGTTCCAAGCTAGGAACCTTCATCCAACATGTTCAATGTGTTTTGTTTTGTTTTTATTTGTTTATTGTAGCGTAAAACATAGATGAAAGACATCAAAGGGACAATAAAAAATCATATGTCTACAATAACGACAGTACTATGACAAAACAAAAACCCAACCTTAAACGTCGAAAAGGCAAACAACAGTCGTCAAACTACGACATACAAAAAAAAAAAAAAAAAGAAAACCGGGAATACAAACCACACCACAAAATAAGGGTTGATCTCAAGACAGACAAGGTGATCCCGCTCTAAATGTGTCCTCCGTCGTGTTGTTGATGGAAAGTGCAATTTGGTGATAAGTAATCAAATAATTTTGTTAATACCACAATCAAGGAAAAGAAGGAAAGTCATGATGGTGTCCATTAAATTCTTCCATTTTCTATATGAATTTGGTTTTAATGTCAGGGCATTTTATAGCTGATTATAGGGATTTTGCTTATTGATGAAGTGCATGCGGTGACTAGTAATTGTTCACATCGTTATGAAAAACAAGTCTACAATAACGACAGTACTATGACAAAACAAAAACCCAACATTAAACGTCGAAAAGGCAAACAACAGTCGTCAAACTACGACATACAAAAAAAAAACGGCAATACAAACCACACCACATAATTAGGGTTGATCTCAAGACAGGCAAGGTGATCCCGCTCTAAATGTGTCCTCCGTCGTGTTGTTGATGGAAAGTGCAATTTGGTGATAAGTAATCAAATAATTTTGTTAATATCGCAATCAAGGAAAAGAAGGAAAGTCATGATGGTGTCCATTAAATTCTTCCATTTTCTATATGAATTTGGTTTTTAATGTCAAGGCATTTTATAGCTGATTATAGGGATTTTACTTATTGATGAAGTGCATGCGGTGACTAGTAATTGTTCACATCTTTATGAAAAATAAGGGACAACTATCATTCAGAGCTAATACGACGTAGTTATTAGAAGATGTGTACCGGTATGAGTGCCAATGAGACAACTCTCCATTAATTTCACAATTTGTAAAGTAAACCATTATAAGTCACAGTACGGCCTTCAACACGGAGCCTTGGTTCATACCGAACAGCAAGCTATAAAGGACCCCAACAACAATAGTGTTAAACATTCAAACAGGAAAACTAGCGGTCTAATCTATATAAAACAAGACGACGAGATGAACCACATCAACAAACGACAACCACCCAACAACAGAATCCTTAAGACAGGTGCAAACAAATGCAGCGGGTATAAACGTATGTACATTAAAAACAAAAGATCGCAATTCAGCTTTCAACGATGAAAAAAACTCCATGACAAAAGTGAAACAAATCAAAGGAGAAAAGTTATGGTTTTTCCTATAACAACGCAATGTATAAAACACAAGCATGACAGCAGTTCACCATCGACTACCACTGAATTACAGGCTCTTGTCTTGTCATAGGCACATACACACATACACGCAGAGGGGTTAAACACTGAATATTTGTCTCAATGGCAATAATACCACAGCATCTTTTCTTGTATTGATTATGTTTCCTGTCATTGCCTTAGAAGTTACGATCTCTTTATTTATATATAAAAACAATATTTAAAGGAAACTTCGCAAAAAAAAAAAAAAAAATTGAAAATTGATATTTAAAGTTTAAAAAGCACAAATTCATATATAATTATTAAGGTTTTATTCTTCTAGATAAGATGTCACCATCGATTTTAAATAGAGAATATTTTACTCTTATACAACCATCTTGGTGGCTTTCCGAGAAATAACCACGTGATATCTATAAACCACAAAGTACAAAAAACAAGCAGGTACTAACATTGTCGTTATTCAGTGTCACAATCCCTTGTTAATCGTACACTTGTTTTATCGGAAAAGAAAATAACAAACGCATACACAGTTTTACGTCCCTTAAAAAATAATTAAACCAGCCATGGTTGTACTACCAATCGACAAACTATTTTTGATCACTAATAAATTGATACGGAACAATGATTAAAAAGGGTTAATGAGTCGAAAAAATTAATTGAACAACTATGGTCTGTCTTCTTAAAACTGTTTTCTACTTTATGAAACAAGTTAATAATTCAATGCTAAAGATTCAAGGTTCAACCCACCATTTGTCTTAAAATGTCATGTACCTAGTCAGCAATATTGCAGTTGTTATCCAATAGTTCGTTTCTATGTGTGTTGGCGTTTGTTTTTATTGCACGTCGGTGTTCCTGTTGTTCATTTGTTTCCCTCGGTTTTGGTTGGTTACCCGGATTTGTTTTCCCTCAATCGATTTATGACTTTCGAACACCGGTATACTTCTGTTGCCTTTAATATAATGGAATTAGTTAAGAGCAACTTCTGTTATGGATTCTTTTCTAATTTATAGATATTTGGTTCACATAATAATATGACCAAACGAAAATAAAATAAAAACATAAGGTAAATTGAATTTCTTCCCTTTTTTATTAACAAATAGTGATTTATATTTCATAACACAGAATGTGGGTAAAATACAAATTCTAATCATTTTAACAAAAGCATTGTGAATATGTTCAGCGTCTGGCTTTTCGGTAATGAATTTGAAATGTACAAGAAGATAACACAAGAATAAATACTTTCTTGTTAATCATGCTAATCCTGTTAATAAAGGCAACAGTAATATACCGCTGTTCGAAAGTCAAAAATTGATTGAGAGAAAACAAATCCGGGTTACAAACTAAAACCGAGGGAAACACATTAACTCAAAGAAGAAATCAACGAAACAACAGAAACACTGAAGTGCAACAAAAAACCAAACGACAATGTAACACACACAGAAACGAACTATAAGATAGTAACTACCATTTTCCTGACTTGGTACAGGACATTCTAAGAAAAAATGATGGGTTGAAACTGGCTTTGTGGCTAGCCAAACATCGCGCTTTTATGGATATATATTTTTATATGGATCTAATTTTAATGACATATACACACGATTAGATGTATAATTTAAACTGACTACTAAGCTTTAGCCTTTAAAGGGACATTAGCTGTCAATTTCATGGTAACCGATTTGACTCAAATTCTCATATCTGATTTATAACATACTAAAACGTATATCCAAATTATAAAAAAGTATACGGATGTACTGAAGTCGAATTATAAAATACACCATCGATGGTGCACGGACATGATCATATGTATCAACAATTCGTGAATATTCTAGTATAGACGCCATCTAATTTACCATTGATGTCTGTTTGAATTCATATTATAGGTTTAAAACATATGTTTATTATTTCTTTTTGACAAGAATCAATTTTTGTAGATCGAATCAGTCACTCAAAAGGTTAGTCCTTGTTTCACTTTTAATCTTGATATTCTTTTCGTTTTGATAGCGGTAACCGATCTCTAGCAACTAAGGTATTCTATTGAAGTCTACATGAATACGGATTTAATGAAGTCGAAATATTCACTTACAAGTGAATAATTCATTAGCAATGCATCTTTGATTATTTTGACAAAACTAAATCAAATTAAACTGGCTGTTAAAAACGAATGATTAGAGCACTTTCTCACTTTCATTAATGATTGAACAAAACAATCATGTTTTTTCTTTATCTCGTAGCTAATGCCCATTTAATGTGTATGTAGCTATATCAGGTATATCATCTATGTATCTTCCCATAATCTTACAGTTCGTCTAATTGT